AATAAATACATTGTTGAGAGGTAACTCTAGAGCACCACGTGAAACGTTCCTGAGTAGGCACATGGAGCCCACATGATCCATAAAGAGGAGAGTGCTGAGGACATTGGAAAAGGAATAATGCCAATTCCACCCTATGAGCGTCTAGATACGGGTAAAGGGACTGACACTTGTAATTAGCCGTGCGTATGAGCTTGTGTCATTTTGCTGTCTTTGATGCTCCCGCTCTACTTTGAAATGTCACAAGGAGATGCAGAATGTCGGCTTCCCACCTCTCATCTTCCACCCTTTCTCTCTATTCGTATAAAAGATACACTTAAATCCTGAAGTCAAGTATGCAAACTCTCACAAGAATTAATTGTGGGAATTCTTGAGCAAAATCTCTACTAATATCTAAGTGCTCCATACCCATTTACACTCATTTAAGTCTTAACTTAGGCATTAGAGTGTGCTGGACACCGGTGCTAGATTAAATTTGAGCTAAGAGACCAAGATATGCATGACACTTGCTAGTTAAGAATCCGCATCAACACATATTAAAAACAGAATTCACTGCATATTTCCATTCAAATTTTTTATTTATTACAATGCTATCATGTCATTGTTATAATTTTCTATTGTTTTGTTGTATTAAAATAATTGATTAAATTTAAAATGTAAATATTCTAAAACTATTGTTTTGACTAAACAAATAAAACTAATAAAAAATCATCATCATATAGTTAGATAAAAATTTATATTTGATAGGTGGATAATTTACCTAAGTTTGTTTTCCATGAAATAACATGAATAATAATTTTCCAAAAAAAAAATAATAATAATAAAAGAAAACAAAAACCATTATCAAACCAACCATAAAATACTTCTTTTTTATATGAGGCTATTGGATCAACTAATATAGAAATGTATTACTCAAAACCATCATGTGAAATCATCCCTTGATTTTGAGAATTTACAAAAATAAATTGTATGAATAATTAATTAATTGATTAGGAGCTTGAAGGAATATTAATTACATATTAAAAACCTAAGCTAATTAGTTCAACACATTGAAGTTGGTTTTTATAAGAATCAAACCAACTACTTGAAATTGACTAAAACTCATAAAATTTTAATTTAAAAATAATTTTTAAAGTTTTATTTTGTGAAACCAAACTTACTTTATGATATTTAATTATTAAATCAATTGAACTGAGCTATTTTATTAAAAATTTCATTTTTATTGGTTATGATTCGCACATATTTAAACTTAGAAATATCATGAATGCATATGAGAAGTAGTTTGAAATATATATTTATATATATATTTTGTGGATATATTTGAATATTTGGTGGTTCCAATTTAGCTAAAGAAATGATAATCTTTCAAGTCTCATCAATCATTTTACAATATGCTAAATAGTAGGTGAATGACATTATTTTTTAATACAACAACATGTAAGGGCGTGGAGTTCGAACGCATGACTCATGTCTGCAATAGGGCGGGACGGGACCAAGGGGCAATCTCCATCCCGCCCTTTTGAGGATTTTTTCCTTCATCCCCACCCTTGTCCCCAAAACTTTGGGGATGAGGCGGGGAGACCTCCCCTATCCTCGCCCCATCCCTACCAGGACCTTGATTGAGATCCCCGGTTTGACCCCGTCTCCGGTCAAACTGTGGATTTTCCATCCCGACCGGATCGGGTACCTGCGAGGATCGGGTTCTGAAGGTTTTTTGTCATCTCTACACGATATTTTAGTCGGAGATACATGTCTTAACTAGTTGAGTCAGGTTGACAACCAAACGACATTGTTGGTTGAAAAGTAAGAACGAAGCAATAAAAGACGATAATGTCCCTTTTTTTTATTTAACTCGAACGGAGATTGGAAATTTAATGGCACAAAACATATAGAACAATGTTGAGTAAAATACAATTTTAGCCCTGAGTTTGAATAAATAATATTAGAGTACTTACTAGAAAAATTACGTGGTAGTTAATTTGGTGAATAAACTATGCTCACTTGAATTTTCCGAATGAGATGCCAAAATATATTAACTTCATACTTGTTTTAGGGCCGAAGGGACCTTCTTTCCTCTCTCTTTGCCTTCTCTTCCATCTAGCCCTCTCTTAACTCCGTTTGCGTGCCCTCGCCTCCAACCAGCCTTCTCCATTCCTATCGTCGTCGTCCTAGAAACATCTTGATCTTGCTGTTTTTCTATTAAATTCACCAATATTAATTTGTTCTCGAGGACTATTTAGAACTCTTTTGTCAAGATTGAGGATTAAAGTGTCAGATTTTAAAATATAGGAGGATTAAATAGAAACTATATCCTCAAATTCAGGATTAAAAGTGTAATTTATACCACCAATATTTATTGCTAATTTTTGTGGGCAAAATATACTTCGATAATTTTTCAAAGTTTTTTCAATTGATCCTTAATCTTTTATAATTCTCAATTTTATTTTTAATTTATTAAAAAATTTGAACAAATTGCATAAACTACTCTTGAAGTAGGGTAATTGTTATGGGTAATTGTTATAATTACACCTCTGAACTTTCAATTGTAAAAATTAAATCTTCCACAGTAAAAATCAAACACTTTAAACTTTTACAAATAATAAAATTGTAACCTCTAATTTTTTAATGGTAATAATTAGACCCTAAAATTTTTAAAAATGGACCTATTTGAGAAATTAGCACCCTAACAGATTAAACACTTTTGAATTAAAGCTTGAAACTTGAGTGATTCGTTCGAATTTGGAACAAGAATCCGCAGCACCCAAAACTTCAATTCAAACTTAGAACTTGAATTTGAACATGAACCGAGAGATCTCCGCTCTAAGATTCAAGGGGAGGAACGTGAAGAGGACAACACCCCACCCCAAAAACAAATTTGTTGGAGGGTCATGCAAAAGTCTTACATGGGCAGGTACCACCATAGCCCATCGGCCCATCCCGTGCACACCAAGTGTGGCAAACACACCACGAGAGCGACCCATCAACCAATACTCGCGTGCCACCACCAAGGTTGCACAACTCTCCTCTGCGCCAAGCGAGTGCGACCCAATTGGTCGCGGTGCCCCTTCTCAATGCAATGAGCACGACCTCCAAGCAAAGCAAGCGCGGCCCAATTAAGCAGCAACAGTGCCCTTCTCCATGCAAGGGAGCGAGCCCCGTGGCCGCAACCTTCTCCCTTGTGGTCACCGCAACCACCTTGGCTAGAGAATGAAGCGCATGCCATCATGGCAGCCTACTACCCTACACATCTTCGTGCCATACCCAGGGTGGTGCACATGCCTCCATAGTAGACATCTTAGCCTGACCATATTGCTTGAAAGGAAATAAATCTTCCTCCTCCCCCATGAGCCTATAAATACGAAGATCCTAATCTAATTGAGGTAGAACGACAACAACACAACTCATTACACTTCTATGCAATTCTCTCTCTTTCTTCTCATCAGTTATTACACTGACTTAAGCATCGGAGTGTATACCGGTACCTCGCCGGCATTAGCTCACATTTTCTTTGTTAAGATCATCTTCGATCCAACCGTTCAAGTCAAGAATTTATCTTTCCCCTATTAACAAGCCATCGAGTCAAATTCGGATCACGCGATTCAATTGGCCTCGACATTTTACGCATCAATAGTTGGCGCTGTCTATGGGGATCGACGATAAAAGAAGACCTTGATTCTACCCTAGCTAAAGTTTGTATTCCAAATCATGAATCTGCTTAATAATCCAACCAACCTTGAACAGTGACTGAATGCCAAAATGGCGAGCATCCCAATCCCTCTCGCATACCTACATGCCATCAAGCCTCTTGTACCAATCATTCGCACAACGAAGATTGGAGGGAAGAAACCCACACTATGGCCACTCAACGAGTTGTTCTAGTGGTTGTTCCAAGGCAAATGCGAAGTCACCACACTCGAGTTGCTCGAGATGTCCAAAGGTTAAAAGGAGACATGACTTGAGTACTGGCTTTGTTAACACGACAAGGTCAGGCTGGAACTTGCGCCAGTACTCCATCTCCCACGCCCGACGAGATTCGACAAAAGGGAAATAACCCATGGAAGTCAGCGATGAAAAAGTCTGATCCCTGTACCACGAGAAAGGTTAGTTCTAGGAGGCAATGATCATGGTCAAAGGCAAACTAGGGCTATGGGCTAAGGAATATTCCAATTCCCTCGCAATATTTTGTAAGGAAAGAACATTGTGATACTCGCCAATCACCAGATTGTGGCGAACGAGTTGACAACAATGATCTTCTTAACCTTTTGAATCACATAAGAGAATAAGGTATCAGCCGTAACTCAGAAGATCTTCGGAACCTATTGAAATCCAACCGACAGAGCCATAATCCTTCCGAGGAAGGAAGACCATTCCCTTGCAACCTTGTAAAAAATCTCCCTGTCAATAGGGGAAGAATGGAGGATGGATATGAACTGTCCGATGAATCTATTACCCCATTCACTGACAGCGTTGTAGCTGTAAGTATTCCTTACAAATTCAAATGGCTCGCAATATAGTAGTACAATGCTACGACCGATCCCATAGATCATGTAGATACCTTCTTAGGAGGTCGGGAACACAAGAAACCAGTTACCTACCTCTTGACTCTTCACCAAAAGGCCCATGAAAGCCTTCGAGAGTATATCATGTGATTCAACAACGACGCCTTGAAGGTAGAAGGTGGCGTAGAAAGGATCGCCCTAACCACTATCATGGTCAGACTACGCGATGAAAAGTTCCTCTAGTCTCTATGAAAAAAGGCCCCGCTCACCTTTGACGATTTTTTTAGCAAAAAGCAAAAGCATATAAGTGTTGGAAAATTTCTCAATAACCATAATGAGCCCGGGCAATCGATAGGAGATTCTGGCACAAAAAGGCAAAAGGATCATGTCAATACCAACATTGAGAAAAAAGCTAAACTCGGCGCTCCTTTTAGACCACGAAAGTGCCCCTTGGAAAACTTTAAAAAATACACCCCTATTACTGCACCAGTATAACATATCTTGATGGAAATCAAGGATAAAAACCTCTTTAAATGGCCGATCAAAACAAAGCCAATCTCGTATCCCTGGGATCGGTGTTGGTATTGCCTGTTCCATCGAGAAACCGGACATAATACCTCCGAGTGCATTCGTCTTAAGGAGGAAATTGAGTCCATAATACAGAATGGGTATCTCAAAGAATTTGTAGACCGGCGACGAGGGACCCTCCCCTCTACATCGAAAGAAAAATCTCTAGTCAAAATCCAAGACCCCACGAGAGAAATTCGAACAATATCTAGCGGTCCCGTAGGAGGGGAGTCAAGTAGAAAGCGAAAGATTCAAGCCAGACAGGCACGGGTAAGGCTATATGATCATACTATTTATACTGCTACTACTAACCATAAGACCCCTACTCTGTGTTTCAATGCACTTGAGGCTCAGGTTCTTCATCAACCTCATAATGATGCACTGGTCATTACGCTGGTTATAGCGAATATTAGAGTGCACCGCATTCTAGTGGATGGGGGAAGTTCGGCTTATGTGCTCACCTTAAGAACATTTGACGAAATGCGTATTGGATGAGAGTTATTGAAGAGCTGCCTTACTCCATTGGTCGGATTTGGAGGAGAGTAGGTTCACCTTGTCGACAACATTGAACTACCCATGACCTTTAGGGAAAATATGTGCAGTCTGACCAAGCTTATTCACTTCTTGGTAGTGGATTTAACCTCGATTTATAACGCCATTTTGGGACGACCCACCATACACAACTTGGAGGCTGTCCCGTTGACATACCACCAGGTCATGAAATTTCCAACACCATAGGGGGCAGGGATCATTCAAGGCGAGTAGTTTGCCGCTCATGAATGACATGGCTTTGAGAACCGATTCCCATGCAGAAAGGCGACCTCGAAAAACCCCAAGCAAAAACATCTTTGGAACGGAGAAGCCTTCAGTAGCACCTCCAGTCAAGCTACCAGACAACGGAAAGCACATTCATGGTGAACCAGCAGAAGAAATTGAGAATGTCCCTTAATCTCTGACGAGCAATGTGTTCAAGTAGGAGCCCAATTACAAGACAAGGTTAAGTAAAGTTTAGTGGCGTTCTTGAGACACCATCCAGACATCTTCGCCTGGTCTCATAACGATATGCTAGGAATAGACCCTAAAGTGATGGTACATCAGCTTAATGTGAGTCTTGATTTTAAACCAGTCATACAGAAGCGACGACCTTTCAACACATAACGCAACCAGGCCATTGTAGTAGAAGTGGCAAACGTTCTCAAAGCTAGATTCATACGCGAGGTATAATACCCGCAATGGATATCCAATGTCGTATTAGTAAAAAAATCCAATGGAAAATGGCGTATGTACGTCGATTTCACTGACCTCAACAAGGCATGCCCAGAAGACAGCTTCTCATTGCCAAGGATAGATCAACTAATAGATGCCACAGTGGGGCACGAAGTTCTCAATTTTATTGATGCTTATTCCGGGTATATCCAAATAAGAATGTACGGCCCGAATCAAGAAAAGACCTTGTTCATCATGGAGTAGGGACTATACTGTTACCAGGTGATGCCTTTTGGTCTAAAAAATGTTGGAGCCACTTAACAAAGAATGGTCAACAAAATGTTCGCACCATTAATTGGAAAAAACATGGAAGTATATGTCGATGAAATGCTAGTAAAAAGCAGACATGTGACCCGGCACGAAGACGACTTGGCCGAAGCCTTTGATATCCTGCGACGGTATCATATGAAGTTATATCCCAGCAAATGCACTTTTGGAGTGGTGTCAGGAAAATTTCTAGGATACCTAGTTCATCAACAGAGGATTGAAGCCAATCCGAACAAAATCTGAGCAATTATTGAAATGACTTCTCCAACGACCCTCCAGCAAGTGCAAAGACTTGGTGGAAGAATAGTTGCCCTCAACCGCTTTATCTCTCGTGCAACAGATAAGTGTATGTCTTTCTTCTAGCTAGTAAAAAAACAAAAACCATTTGAATGGACAAAACAATGTGAAGAAGCCTTTACTCAACTTAAGGAATATCTTGGTATAGCTGTCATGCTAGCAAAGCCAAGTCTGGGAGATGAGCTATGCCTGTACCTGGCAGCGTCTGACACAACTGTCAGCTCGCCGCTAATCAAACAAGACCAAGACATTCAAAAGCCCGTTTATTATACCAGTAAAGCTTTAGCTGATGCCGAGACTCGATACCGACCTATTGAAAAAGCTGCTCTAGCCTTGTAACTGTCGTTCCGCGCTTGCGATCGTACTTCCAGGCTCATACTGTTACCGTCCACATAAACTTGCCCTTAAGGCAGATCCTTCAGCGACCCGAGACATCAGGTTGGCTTATGAAATGAACGGTAGAGCTTAGCGAACACGACATATGTTACAAACCACGAACGACCATTAATGAACGGGTAGTGGCTGACTTTATTACCGAATTAACCGCTGAAATAGAAGAACCGCTAGATACAAACCCCATCCCGAGCCAAAAAGCTATCGATAAACTCAACTCAACCCTGAGGCTATGGAATATTTTGGTGGACGACTCCGCTAACAACCATGGGTGTGGGGCAGGACTGGTAATTGTTTCTCCGACTGGAAACTGTTTGAAACAGCTATGAGATTTGAATTCAAGACCTTAAACAATGAGACCAAGTACAAGGATTTTGTCGTAGGACTGAAAGCCAGTCAAGAATATGAAGCAACTTGTCTCCGCATCTACAGTGACTCAATGTTGGTAGTAAACCAAGTTAAAGGAGATTATCAGGTCTAGGGAGTCAAACTAGTTGAATATAAGGCACAGGTATGAAATTTGCTTACTTATTTTGCAGAATGAAAAATTCGACAAATACCACAATCTGAGAACAGAAACGCTGATGCACTAGCACAACTAGCCGCTGCTTATAGAACGAAGCCAAGCATAAGAAAGCTCGAAAGCCTCCTCGTGATGACCGTCCCTCAATTAAGTACCTGGATGAATCCCTTAATGAAATACCTGACAACAGGAAAGTTTCCCAAAAGTAAAATGGAGGCCCAAATACAATGTCGGTCGACACAATATGTTGTTCATAACAGAACCTTGTACAAACGAGGATTCTCACTACCACTCTTGAAGTGTCTTGATCAAGAAAAAACAGCTTATGTCCTACAAGAGGTGCATGAGGGCATTTGTGGTAACCACCTAAGGGCATGATCACTGACACACAAAATTGTCAATCAAGGGTATTATTGGCCAACATTACACCGAGATGTTAAGGACTATACCTGAAAATGCAATCACTGTCAGTGAATTGCCCCTATTCCTAGACAACTAGCAGAGCCATTATCTACCATCACTGGACCCTAGACTTTCACCCAATGGGGAATAGATTTTATCGGTCCCCTCCTGCAGTGGAAAGGACAAACAAAATACGCAGTAGTCGCAGTAGACTACTTCACTAAATGGGCTGAAGCAGAAACACTAGCTACAATCACTAAGCAAAAAATTACCAAGTTTGTATGGCAAAATTTGATATGCCGATTTGGAATCCCCTATGCGATCGTGATAGATAATGGAGGACAATTTAACAATTCGGTTTTCAAAAGCTTATGTGATCAACTAGGCATTCAACACTTTCGATCGTCTCCCACACATTCGCAATCTAATGGTCAGGTGGAAGTCATTAACAAAATCATAAAAAGATGTCTAAAGCTCGTTTGGATTCTTTCAAAGGAAAATGGGCAAAAGAGCTACCAAGCGTACTATTGGCATATCGAACTACAGCGAAAATTGCGACAGGAGAAACCCAATTTTCTTTAGCCTTTGGCACCGAGGCAATGATCCCAGTCGAGATCGGGCTGCCTTCTCCTTGGACAAAAAATTATGATCCCGACACTATAGAAGAATCTTTAATAATCCAGTTGGATTTGTTAGAAGAGTTACAAGAAGGCACTAAGCAACGAATGATGACATACAAGGAACGTAGTGCGCAACATTATAACGTTCGTATGCGACCACGAGCGTTTCAAGTTGGAGATATGGTTCTACGCAAAGTACTCCCTAGCACCAAGAACCCAACAAATGGTGTCCTTTGTCTTACATGGGAAGGTCCGTACGTGGTCATTAAGCTGGCTCAACCAGAAACTTATTACTTGTCTGATGCAATGGGAAAGGTATTGACCCATAAATGAAATGTGGAACATTTAAAATTATATTACCAATAAGCAAAATATATCGATAATGAAATGCCATGTGTTAGGAATAAAAGTGCTACTTCGTGAAACAAAACGAAACGACATGTTAATTACCAACAAGATTCGTAATACAAAAAAGAAAAACGAGGAAGCGACATCGAAAACTTCAAGTAGAATTTTGGGTCGCATTTGAAGGCTCATTCAGGTGTGCCACCAATTCGGCTATGGTTTTCTAGGTAGGACTAGGCCCAAGAGCAGCAAGGGCAATCTCAACCCTCACTGTAAGGGAGGCAGGGCTAACTATGCTAACACCCACCACGACCCTAGCGTCCTTGCCTCTCCTGGTACCGTCAGACGAAGAAGAATCAGTACTAAGGGTAGGTTCGGATAGCGCGACATAAATGAAACTCATATCAAACCCTAGATGAGATTGACCCATTTTCTCTTCCACCCAGTCCAAGCTCAATCTCATAATCTCGCATTGAAGCCCTTCATATTCCCCAGTAGAGCGTAGTGCGGCCTCTAGTTTTGCGGTGTCCTTCGAGTCAGATTGGAAAGTCTCAAGCTCTATAGTATTCTTCTTCAATGCTACTCGACTATGCCCAAAACCAACTCATGCGTTCTCCACCTCCACCAAGGCCGCGTTGACTTCGACCTTGGATTTCTCTAGTGATGCCTCGAGCACTGCCCTCTTGAGTTTTGATTGTTGCATCAAGGATTCTGCCTTTTCTAGTGCACTCATGACAACCGCCTTGAATACATGGGCATGCTGTAGTTTAGATCCCATACGATAAGCAACATAACTCGCCCTTATGCCAACCTGAAAAGTAATGACCAACCCATCCAGAAACGTATTAGGGGCAAGGCGAAAAATAAAAAAGCCAAAGCTATGTCCATACCCTTTGAAGATCAAATAGAGCTTTATTAAATTCACATCCGGGGTCTTCTGCAGCAATATCCCCCAGTACATTCAAACGACCCATCCTCTCCCAAATCTTCCTTCCCATTGAATTCAATGCTCTAGAAGGGAAGGAGGTCACATATGGTCCACGAAATCCAAAGGTAGAGAAGGGCATATCCGGTCGGTGAAGTATTGGGTGACGCCCCGACTAGGGACACTGTCGAGGGTCGTGGCAGTCTGACAGCAGGAGGAGGCAGAAGCGAAGTTACTGGCACAGTTTCTCCTTGGGAGGAGCCTCCGGTACGATGACGTTGGCAAGGAGGTACCTCTTGTACCCTAGAGGATCCGCCTTGGTCAGTGGCCTGAGAAGCCGCCTGCTTCGCTGCTTGAGCACGAAGGCAGTCAACAACAGATGTGGTGGGTGTCATGGCTTCAGAGTCTGCACCCACAAAAAATATGAAACGATATACACTAAATGCACAAATGGGGC